ATTTAAAACATTTAACATGTCATATATCAGAAAATTCTTCAATAATAATAAATTCAAAAGAAAATTTTCAAAAATCTTTAAAATTTTTAAATTATTTAAAATTAAATGTATGTTCAATATCATTTAAATATATTGAAAATCTTCTTAATTTATGTCCTAATTTAATATCATTTATTTATACATATACAACAGGTTTAAAATCATCCTATGATAATGAACATATTGATATTGAACGTTGGAATAATTTATTTATAAATAAATTAAATCGTTTAAAAATTTTCGATTTACATATATCAATAAATATAGATTCACAACGTGATCTAATTTTAATAACAAAAAAATTTCAAAATTTAAATTTTTTTCTTAAAAATAATATTCGAATTATTTATGAAATAACATCTTATAAACATATTATATGTACAATACCATTTATAAAATCACATTTAAATAATTATATAAATAAATCTTCATTAACAAATGTTCATGATTCATATTCACGTATACGTCATTTTGATTTAGTATTAAATCAAACAATACTTCATCAACAACAACATATAATACGTTGTCCACTTGTTCATTCATTTTATTTAGGTCTTTATGATAATCTAACACCAATTGAACATCAGTCACGTATATTATTAAAACAATCGATATCATTTGTTTATTTAAAACATTTCGAATTATATGGTACATGTATAAAAAATGGTTTTGTTGTGCAATTATTAACTAAAATGACAAATTTAAATTCATTAACATTACCATTAAATCATTTAATATCATGTCAATTTAATGAAATAATACGTCAAAATATGAAAAAAATTAAAAAATTACAATTAGCTTTAACAGAAAGTATATCAATTGATTATTTAAAAAATATTTTAATACCTATTTTTCCTAATTTACATTCAATGAGTTTTGCTATTGATAATAAAATTCATTCGTTTGATAAAATTTTATTAACAATGATTGGACAATATAATAATAATAATAATGACAATTATTTAAAGTATTTAATGTTTCTAGAACTTTTTGCACTTGATCAAGATTGGAATCAATCAATGTTGATTCAACTTAAAAAATTTATTCGCTATAAGAATAATTATCGTTTTCTTTATATTTGGTTATAATTTTGTTTGTTTTTTTTTTTGTTTTTTTAATTATAAATTGATTTCAATAGGAAACAATGATTATATGTAGATATTTATTTACTATCTTGTATATACATTGTGATAAAATATACTGATTGCTTTCAAAATGTGATATTTACTGGTAGATCAACAGATGTTTACATAATTATTCAGAATATTTATGGTAGACATCTTTGAGTTTCGCCGATAGCTCTAACTGAGAATATAATATTATTAAAAATAACATTATATCATAGAAATCTGCTTAAAGTTATGTGGAAGAATAGACAATCATTTCTACACTGATTAATTCAAAGGCAAAGATAATAATTATTTTGTTTTGCAGTACAATGTTTACAAAAACTAGCTAGTAAACTTTCGATTTTGTTATATAAATACAGAAAAAAGCTGCTTTTCATTATGCCAGTAAAAAAAAGAAGTCAAAAAAATACAAAGAAAAAAATATTAATCATCAAACAAATTAACTAAACAAAATTACTGATGAAGTAAAAACAGAATATAAAGCATGTCTTTCAAGATGTAATTATTGTATTTGATTAGCTCTAAAACTCTTTATCTTTCTGATCAATCAGCTATTTGTTATTTTATTTCTATTAAGTGAATGTAATTAAGGTTTACATTGATATTTTTTTTTTCTTAACCTAAAATATTCATAAACACTTCATAAGGTTATAATAATAATACATTGAAAAAAAATCCTGTCAATAAGATTATTGTTAATAACTATTTTGAACTAAATAACTATCATATAACGATATGTATCATGAAAATAATATTTTTATTATTTGTTATTTATGACCTTCTTTGATAGAAAATAAATTCTCTATTGATATTCAATATTCAAATGTTGTTGACATTTTTCAAAATGTTAGAACAATTGTAGAAGAATATTATATAGTCAATGTTTAGTTTTTTTCTTGATCTCATATGGTTATAATGTGACCTTGACTATTGTATCAACTGTACTGTAATTTATTATTTTGATCTGATTTTTATCGTTGTATAAAAGATATATGAATAGATATTGGACTTTGATTATTTGCGGTTTATTTAACCTTCTATTCATGATCAGATCTAAAGAAACATTGTGTTAATTACAAGTAACTTATGAAGACCGAAAGCAATTAAAGCAAAATACATCAAATAATGAATAAAGATAACATAAGTCATAGGCGATGATTTGCAGCATCGAACCACTTTGGTATACAAGAAGAATGTATAAATCATTGCTAAACGAGTTACTTGAGATGTGTAGAGTAGAACGGAATCATATAAACATAGTGCTATTGAAGGGAGAGTCGAACATGATGTTAATTCTCGAGGAAACGAACACGTTGCCATTCCATTCTATAGAAGTTTGACTTGTTTATTTCCATTAAATATCTCACTTCCAAATGAGTAGAATTTTTTTTTCGTGCAAGTTTTTAATCAAACAACATGAATGAGAATAATACTATATCATATATGTATTTTTGTCAAATAAAAACTATGCTTTTCTATCACAATTGCTATAAAATATTATACGAAAATTTGATGAATTATTAATCCTTTAAGAAAAAAATATTACAATTTTTACAAATCTCATCTATGAATTGATGATTGAGACAAGTTTCGATAGATGCTCATCAAAAACTCTCAAACTAGTAGAAATTCCATAGAAATGTAAAGATTTAATAATCAACATCAAGTAGAAACAATTGAAATTGATGTCATTGTATGAGCACTAATCGTCATATTTAGTAATATCTTCAAAATATTAGTTATGAGAACATTTTATTAACGAACGACATATGATGTAGGTTTTCATATTCATTTTACTTGACATATTAATTGACGATGAAATAATTTTCATAGACATTGACTATAAAAACAACAGAATGGTTTGACAAATTATATTTGTTTTCTCGTAGTTATATATTATGATAGTAGAACGGCGAGATATTATTACTCGCAACATTGATTGTTACTGTCTTGCTTCACTTTACCATTATGATCTATACCTTTTTTTTGACGCAATCATAAACATTTTTATGATTTATCAAGAATAAAATGTGTATTTCTCTATGCTATTCTTTCCGTTTTTTGTTTTGTTCTCTCTTGTAGTATTTCGTCGCGCCTTAGGAATATTCACTTTCGTTCCATGAGCTTTTCCTCTTTCTTTTTATTGGACTATCTTTAAATATTGCTTCGTCATTGTCATTAATCTCGAATATAAATTTTCTTTTACATGTCGTTTCTCTTCATGTTTATAACGGTTCTTTTCCAACGAATAAATATACAATAGGATTTGATCTTCGCGCTTAGTGTGATGTCATTGAGATGTTTCTATTTTGTCGATAGAACAATTGCCTAAGATAAAAAAAAAACTTAAATGTACACTCTATATATTTAGTACAGAATTCTGTTGAAGTTATGAGTGTGGACCACAGGATATATTTTTCGCATGGTGGGCGAACATAGGACTTTATTGCTCGGAAATGATTGAATATGACGCAGAAACGCTTTTTAAAGAAAAAGAAAAAATTTTTTTTGGGAAATAAAGTTTTTCGACGAAAAGTGCCTGAGGGAGACCCGAATCCTCATTTTTCCTTCAAAATTACTTTATGTTATATATCATTCGATGTAGTTTAATGTGCTGGTTTTGGATATACTATTTTTGTCAATTAAATATTTTTCCAAAGCAAGAAGAATTGAAAACCCTAGATTTTTTGGAAACCTGCTGTGTAGTGTAGGAATGTATGTGCTAACAAGGATTAAAGACAGTAAATAGAAGGACATTCTGATAAAATATGGAGGTTGGATTTGGGTGCATTGCTCATTTTACGGTACCAACTATTGGAACGACACTAGAAAAAAATATTTTTTAACATTGTATACAGCTCGATTTGGAGATTCAGAAAACGTACTTGATTTGTCAGTTAAACAGTTTAATTTCATCACATATATTTTTTCCTGATGACATCACGATTTTTAAAATAATTTTTGGACAACCAGTTTTTCGATGTCTTTGAGGGTTGTAACAAAGTTATTTATACCATTAGATAGACTATATTTCCCTATATTTAGATCTTGAAAAAGCACGATTTTAATTCTTATCTAAATGTCCGCCTAGATACATACTGTGTGAATGTGCAGAGGGGACACTCACACCTACACCCTACTCACTATTGGTATGTCTTTGTTCAATGTGCATTCTTTTTTCTCAACTTTATCTATTCAATAAATATTTACTACTTCACATCTTAAAGGTGACTCCGATATATATATATGAAGAAAAAGTAATAACTACACAGTCATACTAGAGAATAAAATTTTATATTATAGTTAAGTCGTACGAGAAGTTCAGTTTTTGTTTCATATGACATTTAAATCAAAACGCATGAACATGATTTTTGTGATCTATCAGTAGCAATTCTTACGTTTCCATGTGAGAGTTGTTGATTGGTAGAATTATTATGTGATTCAGATTCAACTGAAAATAGATAAAAAAAAAACTACTATATTAAATCATCTCTTCATCGATCGTTAAAACAATTCATTTAACTATTTATTTTAGACTAACAAACAACATAATCTCAAAGTTTATCAATTTTTTTATAATTCAATAAACAATTGCTTACTTAATAACTGTTTTAGTGCACTGGTAAAGAGAGCGAATTCATGTTCATGTAATTCTTTATGTGGATAACGTTGAGCATATCGAAGAGCATATCTTTCATATTGTTTTTGCCATCTATCTTTTAAACATTCTGCATAAGTAATCATTTGTGCACCAGTCTTAAATTGATACATGTCGTGTATTTCTGAACAGATATCATGTTATGCAAACTAATAATGAATATCATCTTGAGTCTATTGCAATACAGGTTTATTTTTATTGTTAACTGTTTCAATAGGTTGTGAGATTGTTTGAGATCTTATTACTTCTGTCTTAGATATTTCATGAAAAATTGATGGCGTATAATGATGTTTAATAGTTATATTGTTTTGTGTTGAATGTTCTGATGATATAGATTCTACTACTCTTGATAAAAATTCTTCTACTTTCCGTTCATCCAATTTCAAATGTGTATTTTGAAAACGAACATATTTGAATTCGGCAAGACGAATATCTATATCAAAAGAAATTTGATCAATAAGAGAAAAAAGGTATATTTGTATATGACATGTCTTACCTGACCAATCACTTATATCGGGTTTTCCAAGATAGATAGGTAAAAAACGTTTATTAAGTCGATCTTTTGCATAGATTATTTCTTGAAGACATGCTTTACTTGTTAAATATTCTGATAATCTAATACATATGATCAAATCAGAATTTTTAATACCTTTAGCAATAGATTCCCAAATATCTGTACTATTCTTACAATATCGTTTATCAATCCATACATTGAATAAATCAATTTTTTGATCAAGTAATTCAAGTATTTTATCACAAAAATCATTATTAATATGAGAATAACTCAACATAAACATAGGTTTTTGTTGCATTGCTATTGAATGTACAATAGGTATTGCAATCGAAGGTATCTCAAAACCAAGATTAAATAAAATTCCATCAGCAGCTTTCTTAATACATTGCATTGATCGAGGTGCATATTGTTCAATTATAATTTAATAATCATATTTAGCTAAATTTTGAATTATGTTCATAAGTTCTATGTGTTGTTTAAGTATAGAATGATAAACTTCATGAAATGAAATACTTCATAGAATATTGAAAAGTACTATGAAAGTAAATTGTTCAAGACGATTTTTTTCTATAAGTTTAACATGAAAAGAAATAAGTAAATCGGAAAATAATTTAATTGTCGAAGTTAGATTCGATGGAAGATTAGTTTCTGCTTGATTCATAACATAATCAAAAGTTGTATCATCAATAAATAATTTAACAAGTACAGCAAGTGGTTCAGATACATGAAAACCATTATATCGATATTTTTCTGCAGTTGATGCGTGAATAGTTATTTGAAGAAGTTCATCAAGTATAGGTTTAATTCCTTTTGGATCAGTTTTTATTTGATTTGGAGTCGAAAGAAGAGCTAATGCCATTGTATTAATTAATAACATTGTTGATTGACGTACATTATCAAGCTGTTGCATTTGATTAATAATTTCAATAGCTCCATATTTATTAAGTTCATCGGCACCATTATCATGTCTCGATAAGTTATGTACAATACTTACTATAGGTCGACGTGCAGTTTCAGTTAATGTTGGATAGTTTAACCATTCAATAACACTTTTACCAAATCCAGCACGTAACAGAGATGGAACGACTATCGTACGATCACTTAAGCCCCATATCAACAATAAAATACGTTAATGTACAGTCATATGTTTTTCATTCATATTTTGCTGCAATATCGTACTTTGAAGATTCTGATTAACATGAAGTCGCATAGCATTCAATAAAGAATTATACTGATCGCTAATATCACTGTCAACAAAGAGTACAGAACTACACAAAGTTGATAGGATAAAAAGTAATATATAAATATTCGATTCACGTATAGTATCTGCTAATGTAGATGGTGATAATGCTGTTAAAAACTGTTGAATTTTATATGTATTAAGAAGATCTAAATAGCTAAAGAATATTTGTCGTGAAAAATTATTATCATTATTAAATAAATCAGTTTCATTGATATCAGAAAATACTTTTGTAACTACAGCACGATTTGCATCAAAACAATATTTATTTTTCTTGGTAACACTGTTTGCCATGTTCAATAGTTCATTCCAAAGACATATCGATTGATTTAATTGTTTTTTCATATTATCAGAATCTGATAACATTGTTATTTCTTGTTAAAAATGTTCAAATTTATCAAAAAGTTGTTGACAAATGGATGCATCTTGATTTTCTATTGTAGTTATCGTGATATCAATAAACTCTTCGGATATTGATTCAATTTCCGAAAAAATTGTATTTCCTGAATCTTCTGATCCAGAGAGTATTCTATCATTTGAAGTCATTTTAAAAATATATCTGAAGTTAAAAATAAGAGACAACTATTAATACATGTTTTGAATCAAAAGAAAATAAATAAGTTATTAAGTAAATTACAAGAATTTGTTTACTGTCGAATAAACTGGAAAACATCGTTTTTTTCGATCATAGATTTTTAATGACTTAATTCGTCAATATTTTCTTATAAAAGAAATCGAAAACTATCGTCTAATAAAAAGTAATTTTCTAATCACAACACCTTAGAAATATTCAATTTGTATAAAATAACGTTCGTCATAGATACAAAAGTTACCTGACTACTGTTAAAGAAAAAAAATGATGTATAGGCCATCATAATTAATTTCGTGTACCTTGTGCTAAATTGTTTATATTGCTTCTCATTATAGAGATGTGTACACCGATCGACAATTTTTATAGGAAGAAAGAAAAACAATCTGTGCTTTTGGGTTACAATAAAACGAAGCGAACAAGAAAGTGATTACATACAACTTTGTAACATTTTCATAGCAGTGTAATGATAAAAAAAGGTTAATAATTTTGAAGTAAATAAAGATATTAAGAACTTAATTTTATGTCTAAAACTTGTGTGTTTAGCATCTACGGACGTATTTCTAAAAATCTTGTTGTATGAATTATATCGGACACTTTTCATTGCTACAAACGTGTAAATTATAATCAATGATTCGATCATTTTGTACCAGGAATACCAGTTTCAATATGATTTTATCTAACTGCTCACAAAGATTGAATTGTATAGAATTCTTTTAACATTGTTAACTGAAGACAAACATATTAGATCAATAATGAAAAATTTATGCTAATTAATGAATTCGATAAAAATTTTTCATTTTCTAATCAAAACTTTTAAACGTTTTTCCGATTGTTTAGTATCTATCAGAGTCATTTGAAGCACATTCAGTATCATCAATTCTAAACTAGAATGACAATTCTTACTTTGATCTGACAACATTGAAAATACAAACAATCTACTGTTATAATCTTTATTAAATATTTATGAAGTCTTTCAATAATGCAATGCATTGTAACTAGAATTTCTGATGCTATACAATGTTACAAATAATATTTAGTAGGACTTTATATTTCTTTCCTAAGTATGTGTGTGAAAAAATCGTAAGAACTTTGTTTATTATTGAAAGAATAATCTAATAGTTACAAAAGTTTTCTTTTTCTATGTACAGAACAAGACCAATAAACTCAAAACAAATAATCAATTGATAAAAAAGTATACGAATTCATCTATTATATTAAGTCAAATCGTTATATTGCCATTCTACTTCAAATAAAACCTAATGCTATTTTTTTTTTCATTGGATTATTCATACTGACGAAGGCAGTACTATTTATAATAGTGTCTGCGATTTCTTTTTTTCTTTTTGAAAATGAATATATTTGCTTCGAAGTGTATTTGTTTTGCTATTGCAATCTTCTAGCATATGTTGTTATATAAAAGGTTTAATAATATTTTTTTTTCTTCATACATATTTCAATAGCAAAAATGATAATCAACATTCGTTTTTTTGTTTGTCTATGCGTTCTAATGATTATTGCAAATTATGCTTATGCTCGAGTACGACATTTGAATAATTATGAAAGAAGGTATATGATATTTTAATTTAAAAATTTGAAGTTTATTTTAAATAAATGTACATTATTCATTTATATATCTAGAATGTTTGGATGTGGTGGACTTCGTGCATCATGTAAGGGTCTATTTTCTAAATCATGTTGTTCTGGTTATGTGTGCCATAAAAATACAGGAAAATGTGTACAGGCTAGTACATCAGGTTCTGGTTCATGGCTCGATGATCGAAATGGCAAATAGAATGTTTATGCAAACTTTACATAAAATTTTTTTTTTCTTACATATAGAAACAAACAATTTAATTAATTATTTTATTTTTCATAGTTTTATTTAGTTTACTGTATCTTGAAATCTTTCTTATTTTTAATACAATTAGATAGAACATCAGTTGTTTCTGTCAAACCACATAGTTTTTATTTTATTTGTTTTTTCATCTTATTATAAATTCTAAGATGCACTGAAACATATTTTCTGCATGTTTGCATTTTAATCATAATCACTTCATTAATGATAAAAATTACTTTAGATGGAAGAGATCTATTAAATCTAATTAAGTGTGCACAAAATATAGAGTAAAACTAATTCGAAATTGAGCAGAAAATTGAATTTTACTGTCGAAATTTGTCCCATTTTTGGACGTATAAAAAAACAACTACGTTTATATTAACATTCACAAAAAAACGCAATGTAAGTCTGAATGACAATTATAAGAGCCGAGAGAAAAAAAAATTAGTACTCCATCCCGCTGTATATTATATAAAGAAAAATTATATATTTATAAAATCAAAATTTCTTTGAAGAAAAAGTCAATAAATATAAGGAGTGCGACAGAAGAAATTTCCAGTTTTTGTTAGACTCTTTTCTCCGGAGAGGAAACAACTGAGAATTCAGTCTCAAAGTCTTTAAGCTATAGATTTTAATATAACACCTAGTGCAAAAGCAATGGAACACATGTTTGAATCATGAATGACTTGTTTTTATCGCATATTCATAAAAGAAACGGTGTAAAAGCAGAGAGAACCACCCTCAAAAAGGAGTCTGCACTTTCTCTATAAATTACAACACAACATATGAATCCTTATACCTCTTCGATAAACATATTTTGAAAGGAATATTTTTTCAGTAGTCGATAAGAAACTTTCTCCTCTTTCAAATAGTATACGTTTTATATTTGTTATACATTTGTAAATTAAATAAGGCGAAATAAAGAAAAACATTCGCGCAATAAATTTGCGATTTTTGTATGAATTCATCAAAAACATAGTGTAAAACAACTGTTGATTATGATAAACTGTCCTGTTACACCATGTTTTTTGACAAGTTCATATAAAAATCACAAACTTATTACACGAGTATTTCTCTTTTTTTCTACTGGACACTGCAAAAGCATCATTTGCTCAACTGCAACATGAAACAATTGTAAACATCATTTTTTGCCCGGTTAATTGTAGTTCATAAATTTGTTTTTGATACTAAGAGAGATGTCGAATTTTTCGTTGTATCTAGTGGTTTGTTTGATTTTAATAAGAGTAGTTGTTTCTGCATGAAAAATACAAAACAGTATCGGCCAACGAAATTGTACTTTTCGACAATAATTTTCTCGAGACTTATATTTACCACAAACTAATTATCTCAAAAACAGATACATTTCTATTATATTTCATACTACGTTTGAGTACTGTTTGTAAAATAATTTAACAAACAACAACGACAATTTTTATTTTGGTACAATGCTGAGTAAATAATTTTTTTGGGATATCCAGTATCTTTGATTCTAGAAGAACAAATACTTATTTTAAAAAGAGTATATCAATAAGATTTACATAAAATTCTCTAACATTTAACATTCGAACGAAATTTTACGATTCATTTTAACTTGAAACAATAGTCTAATGAAAATCGGAAATTTCTTCTGTCACATCCGTTACATGTAAAAGAAAAAAAGTTAATATAGTAGTCGTCTCAGAAAAAAATCACATGAGAAGTGGTCAGAACAAAGCAATCTTTTATGGCTGCCTCTCGAATTTCCAATAAAATGAAAACAATACGGTTCTATAGAGTAATTTACGTTCTATCCGATGATCTCAAAACAAAAAAAAAAAACTTCTGAGATGTTGTTAAATACGGTTAACTAAACAAAATTATGAGACACAACGTAATCAAGTTGTATGGTTTTGATTTTTGATTAAAAAATCTTTTATATCTTGTAAAACAAATAAGTCAGGGTGATCCAACCCCAATTTTAGTGACCTTAGGACATCCCTCAGTGAAATAAATAAACGTCATCAATTTTGTACCACTATTAAACCTCAATACTCGGTTAAAATATTTTGCTCGGCAACTAACGACATCTAACATAAATGTTTAGTTTTCTTGTTTGTTCTCAATTATGTAACTCATGATCGAAGCGCTATGTTGCATATAAAAATGCAATGACAGTGGCACTGATGGAATGTTCCATTTTATTTGCTATTTTGATTTTGATTTGTTAGTTTATTGAGTCATTAGTTCTATTACTACGTTTTTTTTTCGACATATATAAATGTAAGCAATTTCTCTCTTCATTTGACGTCATATTTTTTTTGTCCTCATTTAGATAGTTCTTTTTTTTTGTCATGAATATCGATGAACAATCAAATATGACTGATCAATTAGCAAAATCTTCAACAAATTTAGATCAAGAATCTTTACTTGCACTTGTTTCTGTTCGTCCACCAACGCCAGATAAATGTGCTGTTTGTTTAAATAATAAACAAACAGATGTTATTGCACGAATTGATTCTTGTTCACATACATTTTGTTTTTCTTGTATACTTGAATGGTCGAAAGTTCGTGCTATATGTCCATTATGTAAACAACCATTTAATTTAATAACGCGTGAACGTTATTCTGGTGAAATAGTTGAAGAAATTCGTGTACAAACAACACGACGATCAACATTACCACCACCACCAACATTTACTAATCTTAATGATGTTATTAATTGGTTTGATCAACGTCGTCAAAGATCAGATAATTCAAATGATTTATTTCGACAAATGGTTTATATTGAATGGTTAAATACATTACAAGCTCTTGTTCGTCGACCAAAGTACAATATTTAAATAATTATAAATTAAAATAATTTTGTCTTTTTTTTTTTAAGTAACAATTCAAGAAATTCTTCTTATTCATCATCAAATCGTTCAGTAAATTCATCATGGTCAAATGCAATTCCTCTTG